GTGCATGTATATATCTCCACGCACCTATACTGCTATAAATGACTGAATAAATACAGTGGGGGTGGAGGGGCAGACAAATGCCTTGCAGAAAAATAGCACCTCACTCAGGCAGACATTCTGCCCTCAAGGAGGGGAAGTCCACCCTGAAGACCCCCATTAAACTGCTCTGTGACTGCGTCCTCCTGAGTGACTCCGGGGAACTGTCCACTTGATCACCTGAGGGCCAACTGCAGCGGCATCCGGGCGTGGTGTCTCGGGGACACACTGTCTCTCCAGGCCCCAAGCAGTCTGCGTGGGCCTGCTCACTGGATCGATGTGCAGGAAGCAACAACACCTCAGATGCCTCACGAGACACCTGCCACCCAGAGTGGGAGGCGCTGGCCGGAGTGTCAGACGCCCTCTGGAAAGTCCGAGTGGCCGCTCTGCACATGGCCTGCGGGCCACCCATCTGGGCTTCTGGAAGCGACACGCACTGACCTGAGCGGCTGCTCCGACGCATTTGCTGACGCGCCCGCTGTTCTCAGAGGGACCAGAGCAGGAATACCCTCTGCAGCAAGTGCAGGCTCCTGGTCCACGCGGCCCACGACCAGCGGAGTCACAGCTAGGGATACGCGCAAAGGAAGCCCCGTCAGGCACCATAGAGCAGATGCTAGGGATTTGGGGGGAAAATGGCGGAAACCCTGTCTTTTTCTGCAGATTATTTTTTTTCCTTCTGAGAAATGGTTCCTGGCTTCCTACTGGGCCCTGGTAGAGACCGAACAACGAATGAGGAAAGGCCAAGTGACCATGCAGCTTGAGTGTCCTCATAAACGGGGTGTTATCTGACCTGTCCGGCCACAGCTGGCCATGGTCAGGTGCCCAAAGAGTGAGGGACACAGGCCCGGAGAGTAAGGAGCTGCCCAGCCACGCCTCCTGCTCCTGCGCTGGTGCCAGCTGCGTCACCTCCTCTCCCCGTCCACACCCAGAGCCTGGGTGGGAGGGGCTCCTGGGAACCGCTGGTCTACGGACGTTCCTCGCGGCAGGCTGGCCCTGCATTGTTCATGTATTACTCACTTTGGCTAAATTCTAAACTCAGGAGAAAGATAGTTTCCTGGTGAGGGAGAAGCTGAGTGAGAGCAGATGCAGGCCGTGGTGGCTGTCATTCTTCTGGTGGCGGGAAACCAGCGGTCAGGACCCGGGTCCTTGGAGAAGTGAGCCTTTGGGGGTGGCAGCGGGTGAGCTGGGGAATTAGACTTTCTAGTTCTTTGACTCCTGAAATCTGTAGGTACAGTGGTAGAGACCACACCTCTAGAGCTACTGTCCGTTATGTTCCTACTCTAACAGTGTTTGCACTCCTCTTTGGGGTCTAGAGGATCATTAAAGGGTCCCTGGTAAGAGAATTTAGCAAAATTGTAAGATACAAATCAGGTCAATTTACAAAAATCAGTTGTATTTCTAGATGCTAATCAAAACCAGCTGGGAAATAAAACGCAAGGAGAACAAGGCCGTTCTCACATTCCCGAGAAGGAATGCAGGCAGGGTGGCCCCGGAGCCCAGGTGTCCTCTGAAGAAGGCCTGGGGCGGGTGAGCTGCTGGAGCGACACAGACCAGGCTGGGGCGGGCGGGGCGCGGACCCAGAGCACAGGCAGAGCGGGCAGAGCCTGGGCACACCCCTCCCAGGACAGAGGGGACACCTGACCCTCACCCTTGGCCTGCTGCCTCGAGTCAGTGCAGCGCCCTCCTGGGGCCTTTGTCTGAGATCTGACCTGCAGGCTTCCGCCTTCCCAGGCTCCCCAGCCCGTAGGGAATCTCCTGGGAAGGACCCTAATAAAGTGCGATTCCCAGGAATTTCTGGCTCTGCCGCTACTTCTGGGGAGAACACAACCGAAGACAACCCTCCTCGGCAAAGACGCGTGTCATAGGCCGCTAAACGCAGACATGCGTGTACGGGGGCATTTGCTATTACACTGAATGTCGTATTTAGCACTTTTCCATAGTCATATTGGTATAAAATGAGCTGTAAAAAGCACAGTTTTAATACCAAAAAGGGCAGGTTTAAATTTTCTGCTAAAAGAGATCAATAAAGTTCCTCAGGAGATTACCCACCACAGTATTTTTTTCCTTTTTCACCAGTGTTATTTCCAATTAACTTGTGACATATTCTACTAAATAAAAAATTAAACACCTGACACACTGAGGGAGGTGTGCATCCCACACAGACTGCGGTCCAGACCCCATCCTCGCCCGCTCTGTGGACCAGGATCTTACATTCTAGAATCTGTGGTTTCAGTTGGTGACTTAAGCTCTTCCACTCAGAACTGTGTTTCCTTCTCCGCAGGAAGAGGACAGTGACCGCACGTTCCCCCTGAGGCTGCCATGACGATGAGGAACCCAGACAGAACCTCGGCACAGCGCCGGCGTGGCGAGGCCCCAGTACGTGTCTGCGGGTATTTTCGGACTGAAATGACCTCACAAGGTAGCCATCCCCATAACACGCCAACAACTCCCAAAAGCCGGGCACACTTACTTGTAATGTAGTATCAAAGACAACGAGCTTTGAACTGGTTGGGACGATGTCGTAACACTTGTGTGACCTCATGAATCGCATGTAAACGCCACTTTCCGAGTCTTCTGCTAAGAAGGAACGAAAAAAAAAGGGCAAATATCAGTAATCATAAAGAACTCCCTCGAAGGGACGCAGAGTACGTATGGAAAACCTACTGCTGATGGACTTAATGGGAAATGTGGGACGTTTTCCCTGTGAGAGTGAGGAGAAGATGTGGGTGTTCACTCCGCTGACGCAACGCCGGGCTGGAGGGCCTCGCTGGCGCCCGAAGGCAAGAAAAAACACAAAGCACGCAGATTGAAAAGGAAAAAGCAAAACTGTTTTTATTTATAGTCTATGACTTTCTACGGAGAAAGTACCAAAGACTACAAAAAAGTTCCCAGATCTTTAGTAAACAGAGTTCAGCAAAGTCACAGAAGGCAGAGTTAATAAACAAAGAACACGCTATTGTATTTCTACACACTGGCAGTGAACAGAAAATTAATTTCATTTCACACGAAGGTACCATTTATGAAAATATCATATGGAAGTATGGACCCACACAAAAGCACGCTGGACAAATGCACACCTTTCTTATTTAGTCTCTGTGAACCCACTGTACGCCCTAGACATCTACAGACGCAAGCGGCGGCCTTCCCCACACGCCACGCGCGCCTATAGCCGCAAACCTCGCGTATCAACTCTGGTCGCCCAACTTTAAAATCAGACTTGCTAGTGACATCTCTGGGTTTGTAAAGAAAATTCGCAAATATTCCAGCGCATATGGAAGGAATGGGGATGGTTTCCGTTTTGGACGCGTGGCAGTTAACTGGTAAAAGTTAGCTGACAGCTGACAAAAGGGACGACAGTGTATTGTGGGGGTTCACAGCGCATTTATTAGGTAAGAGAGTGGCACCGCCACCCGACCAATGACACAGAAATCCAGGCAGCATCCTCATCATATCGCCACCTTCGCCTTCAATTTATCACCCAAATCTATCTCTCTCTTTTTTTTAAATCCTCACCCGAGGATATTTTTCCATTGATTTTTAGAGAGAGTGGAAGAGAGAGGGAAAGACAGAGAGAAACATCGATGTGAGAGAAACACATTGATTGGTTGCCTCCTCCACGCTCCCTGACCAGGGTCCGGGCTGGGGAGGAACCTGCAACCCAACCAAGGTATGTGCCCTTGACAGGAATCAAACCCAGGACCCTTTGGTCCATAGGCTGATGCTCTATCCCCTGAGCCAAACCGGCCAGGCTGTCACCCAGTTCTCCCTTAAACCCACCTGTTTCCCTCTACCTCCATGGCCACCGCCCTCAATCTGACATAAATACCCCGACTTCCTAACTGGTCTCTGCTTTCCATCTTGTTCCCTTTCCAGCTGCCCACGTGGCATCCAGAACGGTTTTGTCAGACGCAAATCTAACCACATCAGCCCTCTGCTGAGAACTCAATGGCTCCCAAGGACTTCAGAAAAAAGAATTCCGACGCAGCCTAGGAGGCTCTGCCCGGAAAGGCCTGGCCCCCATCCCCGCAGGACTTCCTCCAGCCACCAGGTCTTCCCTTAGTCCCTCCTCAATGTCATGCCCTCTGCTTTGGCAGGGGCTTCGACGGCTGGGTTCTCGGCCTGGAATACTTTCCCATCTCTTCTCAGCGCAGTTAACTCCTCCTTCACTACCCTCAGCCCATGGACGTGACGGAGAAATTGTGGAGCCAGAATTTGAACCCAGATGCCTCTTGAGTCCAAAGCTGTGCTCTTCTCGGGGATGATGGCCCTCCTGCCCCGGCCTGCAGTGACCTAACTCCCAGCCTGTCTCCACGGCTCAGCTCAGTGGGCATCTCCAGGACTCTGTGACGCTCTACGGAGCCCACCGCGATCCGTGCAGTGTGGGAAGACGTAGACGACCACATAAAACTAACCGAAGTCCTTTCGCTGTGGAAGGACGCTTGATGTTCTTACATTTCCTACTGGGGGGAACAGTGTGTACTGACTGCCAACTTCATGATCAGCTAGGTGAACCTCTGCCAAGCCTGTGTTCAATTCTGACCTCTCTTCCGGGCACTATAATCCTAACGGCATCATCCCATCAGCCCCTGGACAGCCCCTCCTCAACTGTCTCCCCTCCTGCTCGTGCACCAAGTCCCGCGTCTTGGTCCGGCCCAGGGGCCTCAGTGATCCGGCTTCCCTGTAACCTGTTTCCCACACCCTGTGCTCAGGTCCAGGCAAACAGCTCCCTACCGGGTCCCCTACTGTCCTTAATCTCACTTGCTTGAATTCAATCTGCTTTAACTTATCCTTCTTTGCCTTTTATTCTCCAATTTCAACCCAACCTCAGACGCCGTCTATGTGCTCACTATGGAACAAGCATCTTCGCACTGTAATACCAGATGTTACATTGAATTACCTTGTTGAATTTATGTAACAACCTTGGAGGGCGATGCCTTCATTTCTTCACTTTCACATGAGCAAACTGAGGCTCACGGAAGCGAAGTAAGTGGCCCGAAGTCGGACAGTTAGAAGTGAGCACAGTGGGATTTCAACCGGTCCAAGACTGCAGCTCCTCGTGGAGACTAAGCGGCTGCATCTGCTCATGGCCGGGCGTGGCCGGCAGATACCTGTGGGGCACTGCTGTCTGCTAGGCACTGTCCCTGCTGTTGGGAACAAAGATGAACATGGCAGACATGGTCCCTGCCCTCCCAGCTCACATGCTGGCAGAGAGGGAGGGTGCCTGGCTAGGTGGTGAGCACCCTGAGCCAGTGGGTGAGGAAAGAGGTGGACAATGGCCTCCTCCTCTGAATACTAGTACATACAGCATCCTTTATGCCAGCGGTTCTCAACCTGTGGGTCGCGACCCCTTTGGCGGTCGAACGACCCTTTCACAGGGGTCGCCTAAGACCATCCTGCATATCAGATATTTACATTACGATTCATAACAGTAGCAAAATTAGTTATGAAGTAGCAACAAAAATAATTTTATGGTTGGGTCACAACATGAGGAACTGTTTTAAAGGGCCAGAAGGTTGAGAACCACTGCTATGCACTTCTTACCAATCAGCACTGTATGTCTCGTTCATAGTGATTGTAAGCTCTAATAGTCTTTCCTTTCCTGGATACTTTGAATGATCGGGATCTTACTCATCTAGTACATTAATTCAGTCAATATTTATTGCATAGGATCTTAGTGTGGGTTCTCCCAAAGCTGACCCTGAGGACAGGGGAAGTGAGCCAGGGAAGGAAACAGTCAGAATAGGGCGTGTCAGTAAGCAGGTGGCAGCTCTGTGCAGTGAGAGTCGCGGCTGCGGGAGACCTGTCAGTCGGACTGTGCACAGGCTTCAGGCTGTCTTGTTGTAAGAATCACTCCTGCCTGCTTTGGTTAGGAGGCTGCCAAGGAATGACCCGGGCAGAGATAATGAAATAAGAGAACTTGGATGTAGGCAAGGCCTTGCTACCAACACTTCCGCTGTGCTAGAGGCCAGGGGCCCCTCTGGATGATGCCCAAATGGAGGAGAGACATCAACCGTCACAACAGCATCGCGGGCATGACCCAGGGCAAATGCGCAGTTTATGAATGAACTAGAGGCCCAGTGCATGAATTCGTGCACGGGTGTGGTCCTGCCGACCGCCCTGATGGGGGCTGATTGGGGCCGGGCCAACTGGGGTGGGGGAGGGACATGGGAGGTTGGCTGGCCGGAGGTTGGCCCTGAGGGGCTGCGGGAGGTTGGGGGGCTAATCAGGGCCCCGATTGGGCTGGTTGGCCACCGCAGTACGAATCATAGTGACTGGTCGTTCCGTCGTTCCACTTGGCATTGACTCAAGAAGAATCGCCACAGTATTGAAGGCAAAAGGTGGCCCAACGAAGTACTGATGGGGTGGTCATAATAATCTGGCCACTATAGATGAGAGTGGCAGTTGGAAAATGGACGATGAAGTTAAGTCTGTGTGTTCCCATGTTCCCTGAAACACGGATCTATGGGAAAACGGGAGTCTCGCATGGGGAAGAACTGAAGCACAGGCGCTCTCAGAACAGCTGCACAGGCAGTTCTGACCGTCCCTGCACGCTGAGCCCCCCTGGCCAAGGACGCGACTGCTATGCCCCTCTCGCCAAGGACGCGACTGCTGTGCCCCCCTGGCCAAGGACGAGACTGCTGTGCCCCTCTCGCCAAGGACGTGACTGCTGTGCCCCCCTCGCCAAGGACGTGACTGCCCTGCTGTGACACGTGCCGTTTCCTTGCCGCCTGCTCAGCGGGGACTGTGCAGACAGTCAAGCATCCTCTCAGCGAATATGTAAGTTACACGTTGCCGGCCACACCCACACCCCTGAAGTTCAAATGAATGAGATCAGAGGAAACTAATATAATAAAACGTAATAATCCATCACCCAGAAAGGAGACTTTACAAGATATTTTGTTCACTAACTGAATCACGCCCTTTCATAAAAGGAACACACATATTACAGATGATAATATCTCGATATGAGATAAAATCTTAAAATACTATAGAAAGTCTCAAACTTTTTGTATTTTAAACTCTAAGTTTAGTGTCAAACAAATTTTTAAGGTACATTTTAATTCCTCTGTTGATTTTTGAAAAATATTTAAATAAACATTTTAAACAACTTTAGATTTAGAGAAAAGCTGTGATAATGAATTGGTTCCCGGTACACCCCAACCCCACACCAGGTTCCCCCTGAAGTGAACCTCTGATATTACTGTGGCACATTTATCACAACTAACGGACAACACTGACACGTTATCATTAAAGTTCACACTTTGTTGGATTCCCTTAATTTCCCTAATGCCCTTTATCGGATCCAGGATCCCAAACAGGAGGGCACATTTAGTCACCAGCTCCTTGTTCCCCCAGATAGTCACAGCTGCCAGACCTTGTTTTTGATGACCTTGACCGTTTAGAGGGGTATTGGGCACATAGTCTGTAGCTTGGCTCTCATGATCTCAACCGTGGGGCTGTGTGCTGGGAGGAAGACTGCAGGTAGAACACCCCCTCATCCCACTACGTCGAGGGTGCACCTGCTGTCAGCATGACTCCTCCCTGGCTCCCCTGGCTCAGGTAGAAGCTGTCTCCACTGTACTCTCTCCCTCC